TTATAAACTGGACACTGGGGCAGCCAGTTACATTAGGCGGCTGGGTTCCTATTACTCATTACCTCAGTTTCCCATTTCTAATTCTTAACTTTCCTTACTTTCTTATGGGGGTACACTGGGGTCAGTTAAAGGGGGGTCCGTTCACTTTAGTCAGGGCCACTCTGATCTTATAGTTGCTGCTGTGTTCAGTTGTACTCCTGTTTCCTACTACACATTAAACATAGGGAAGCCAGTTTATCAGAGCACCTGTGCCATCCACTGACAAATCTCTACTCTAAGGCCCCATGATTCTCTCTTACTCAGCCCCTTGTGGAAAGTAATGATAAGGACCCACAGGCCTACAGGTGCCCTTTCTAATGGCCAAATTGTCTCCCTAAATTGCCCACCTTTCTGGAGACTCAAACTTCAGTCTTTTCAGACCCACTCTCTCTTTTTTTTAACCCATTAATAACTTATTGAACTCCTTAAGTGGGCCCATGGGACCACTATTTGTACAATATATGCCTGTAGAAAATATTCCATCAAGGAAACAATTTGTAAAGAAGATCTCAATGGAAATCACAGCCAGAAAAAAATAAATGACTGGGACTTCATTAAATCAAAAGGCTTCTACAGGCTGAGGAAATAATCAACAGAGAAAATAGCTAATAGAGTGGGAGAAAATATTTACAATCTATTCTCTTGCTATCTACAAAGTTGTCAGACTCCTTTGTTAAAGTAACATTTGACACTTACATTACCCTGGACTGTGCCTGCAGGGCAGGAAGTCTGTGTGGTCACTGACCCCTTCCTACACTTCTGTTCAGCCCTGCTACACATAGAGGCCATATTGATAAAATCATACAATAGGCCACTTGGCCTATTGAGACCTTCAAGAGACCTCAAGGCACCAGGGAAAGTATAATCTGGGATGATTTATTTCCTTGGATTTCTATTACATGTAGAATTCCATCAATCATAGGAGACATTCTTTGGTTATGCCTTCCTTTTCCTTCTCTGGTCATGGTGACCTCCATACTAGCAAAACTCATATGTTATAGACCAAAAGTTATGCAAGGCTGTCTGAAACTGTCAGAGCAAGAGAAGAGACACTTGTGCACCTGTGACCATTGCTCTTAAAGGGACACGAAAGTGTATTCTCCTAGTCAGGTCAAAGGCTTTTCTTCCATAGTCTGCTCCAGTGACCCCTTGACAGCAGGAAGTAGCTAGCTGAGAGTTGATGTCTCTCACTCCCCAGACCCACAAGATTGTGGAAAAATCTCTGGCCATGGGGCAGTGGTAATAGTATAGGGAGGCTTGTACTGACTAGATGCATTTTTCATCTCACCCGTGTGGTCATATTCTTCTGGTTAAAATTTTTGTTGAGATCTGCACATAGACCAGTTAATGATAGAAGTAATCTAGATTATAATTCGACTTTGAAAAATAATGTTAACCCAATCCTGAAACCAATTCCCAATGTAATAAGGAAGTGTACACACAAGTGAAAGTCTCATGTGAACACTTATAGGAATACTGTAACCTGGATCACATCACTCATGGTCAGGTGACAAAAATCAAATGAATGTCACAACCTTCTCAGACTCTTGCTGGCATCTGGATGTCTGTGGTTGTCAGTCATTCCTTGATGTTAACCCCTTCTGTTCCCCTCTTCCCTTAACACAGGAAAGATCCTGAAGTTCACACCACCTTCAGAAGGTTCTTTAGGATGATTGTCCTCATCTTCTTGGTTGGATGGCTTTCTGAGTAAATCACTTCCTTCCCCACAAATGTGGTGTTTTAAATTATTGGCTGTCATGTGGTGAGTGGTATGGTTGTGAATTTAGTTACTAGGGAAGCAGAAGGTTTGAGAAAGTTTTATAAGCCTTTCTCAGGTCCTTCAGGGGCCAGAAACTGAGCCCCACTTGAGCTGCAGGTAAAGGGCCTGAGCCCTGGGATTTAAACATAGAACTCATCCTTCCCAACCATTTTCAGGAAAAACATGGAGAAATGGGAGTTGAGATAATTAAGCCTGGATACAAAGGAAAAATGGATGAGCAGAAAAGAGAACAACTGGGTCAGCTCTGAGTCAGATGTGCATTACATTAGGGGAAGGACAGACTCTAAACATCAGACTTTCCAGGGCACTGACCCTGTCCCAGCTTCCACTGATCCTAATCAGGAAATCTCGCTGAGCACTGTGCCTAGAATGTGACTGAAAACACATCGGTTTCCCCTAAACTTCCTCAGGACTCTATTTCTGGGTACAACTCTAAGGTCATTTTGGCCACTAAAGTGATTTTCTGACTTTTGTGCATGTGGGAGACAGTCCTTACGTTGCCAAACCACCCAAACAACAACAATGTTTTGTGTTTAGTCTTCAACTATTGGGACAGGATTATAACTGTAGAGAAGTTTCCCAGACAAAACTTATCTGGAGAGTAAGCCCCAGACCCTGACATGAAATCAGCTCTTATTCACAACCTGCACCTGCCCTGGGCTCAGTTGGAGCTTTGTGGGTCCTGGGCACCCCCTGGGGCTTCACCCTGCAGGAGGTTTGTGTCTGTGCTCAGACTGCCCTACCCTCACTGTGTCCCTTGCAAGGGACATGTCCTTGGGCCTCAGACTGCTCATTTGCAGCTACAGAGTGTTCTTGCTGTTGTCTCTGGATATGGTGAATCGGCTCTTCACAGAGTCTGTGTAGTTTGTGCTACCACCATTACCAGTGATGTATGAGAGCCACTCAAGCCCCTTCCTTGGAGGCTGGCAGAATCAGTCCACCCAGTAGCTCCTGAAGGTGAATCCAGAGGCTGCACAGGAGAGTCTCTGGGATTCTCCAGGCTCCAGGCTGGATCAAGCCTCCCCTAGACTCCACCAGCTGCACCTCACACTGGACAGCTGCAAACATAGACACACCTGGTCAGAAACCTCCACCCACACCCTCTGTTCTCTCACATCCATTCACACACTCCAAATCTCCAGTTCCCCAGGAATGACCTTATCATAGAGCAACGAGCAGCTCAGCCCAGACTCCATGATACATCATTTGTATCTAGTCCTGACCAGTGAGTGTGCAGACGTGGGAGTCCTGGGGCTGGGGCTCCTCTCTCAGAGCTTCAGGCTTAGGACTGGGCTGCTTGTCATGAACGGAGAGAGGCCCTATTTGCATGTCCTCCCAGTATATAGGAAATCTGGAGTGGGAAGCTGACGGAGGGCAGGAAGAAGTCTACTGTGAATAAATGTATTTTTTGTTAGGGTATCTAGTTTATACTGAAATACGAGTCTGAGTGACAGATCTCAACATTTTCTTCATTGACACTTTTAGAATAAAACCCATACTCACAGGTGCATTGTGTGATGTGTGTGAGAGCTACCATCTGGTTAGAGGGAGCTTGGGTTTCTGGGCCTGTTCTTCTCACCAAGGGACTCTTGTAACAACTCCAGGCTGAGGCTTGTCATGAATCATACAGTTTGCAAAAATCTCTTCTTGTCATGATAACATTTGTGATTTTCCTGCATTCTAGTGTTTACCTAAATACATGGACAACCTGGGTGCATAGAGGAGCAGGGTTCACTCAGTGTGGTTTCAGGAGTCTCTCCTGGTTCATGAGTGATTATCCATCTTTTCTTAACTCTTTTCCTACTGAATCCATTTGTTTGTTTACTTGTGTTAATGAAGTACTTTGACATACAGTGAAGTTCACATATTTAAAGATTATTAATAAACATTGACATAGTCATCACTATGTGTAAGACAGTGAACAGG